CTCATCCACCTTACTAAAATTGTTCTTTATTCTGCCACCCCTCTCTGTCAATTCCCTCCAACACACAAATGGCCTCCACCTCACCCCTCTCGTGTCCTCCACCCCTCTCTGTCAATCCCTCCACTGGCCTCCACTCAGTGTCCTCCACCCCTCCCCTCTTGCCTCCATCCCTCCACTGGCCTCCACTCAGTGTCCTCCACCCCTCTCTGCCAATCCCTCCACTGGCTTCCCGTTGCCCAAACGGATAAAAAAATTCAAAACATTAACAATAACTAAAAAAGCCATTTATAACTCTGACCCAAATGACATCACCGATCAATTCAGTCTCTAAATATCACCCCTCCGTACTCTCAAACTCTCTAGCTCCTTGTCTCCTCCTCCCAAAAATTCTCCAGTATTCACCAGAGCTTCCCCCATCCTCTGGAACTCTCTTCTCCCAATTCAATATCAGACTATCGCCTACTCTTCTCACTTTTAGGCGATCTCTGAAAACCTTGACTCCCATCTTCCTTTCAGCCCCAAAATCCTCCCTCAGCTAATACTGGAATCTTCTACTCTTCCAACCAGTCCATCCCCTCAGTTCTAACCTTTTGTATGCACTAGCCCCCCAACTCCTAGATTGTAAGCTCCAAGGATCAGGCCCCTCAAATCCCTCTTATTTTTCTACCAATTGTATTGAATTGTATTGTTGCTGTATTGTCTCCCTATAGATTGTAAAGTGCTGAGCAAAATTGTTGTTTCCTATAAATCTGTATAATAATAATAATGGCCTAATAATACTTCCTGCACTACGGGAAAATCATATAATATTAAACAATTTATTACCTTTTCCACTACATATGTGACATATTTGTTGGAGTGTCCATGCCGGCTTCCGTATGTGGGAAGAACCACCACTGACCCCTTTACAAAAGATTAAGGGAGCATGTGGCCAATATTAAAAAAGGAAAAAAAAAAAGGACCACTACCCCTATCTAGGCATTTTAGGGAGTATCATAATTGTGATCCTGGACTACTCAAATTTTGTGGTATAGATAAAATTGAACAAACAAGAGATCCCTGTGCTCAAATCCCTACAGCTAGTGCATGCATTTATCCATCAGGTGCTAAAGGGGTGTAGCCACATTAACTCTATAAATTCTGAAGGACCCTCTGCACACTGGTATATACCCTTTCAAAAAACTATGCAACAAATAGGGATATTTGGTTCACACATATTGCAATACATGCTTAAGCTGCCAACTGCGTCAAAGTAATCCCTCTCTATGGCCAGTCCTACTTGCTCCTCCTCTATGGCCAGTCCTACTCTCCCTTCCTCTATGGCCAGTCCTACTCTGCCCTGCCTATCAGACTATGCCTACTGTGGACACAATGCTAGCATAGGGGAAAAGACACAATGGGGAGAGCTACAGAGGACTGGCCATAGAGGGATTACTTTGACGCAGTTGGCCAGCTTAAACATGTTATTACAATATGTGTGAACCAAATATCCCTATTTGTTGCATAGTTTGCTTGAAAGGGTATATACCAGTGTATTGAAGGGTCCTTCAGAATTTCTAGAGTTAATTGGTTACACCCCTTTAGCACCTGATGGATAAATGCATGCACTAGCTGTATGGATTTGAGCACAGGGATCTCTTGTTTGTTGTATTGTTGGGTCAGTAGCCAGACGGGAAAATCTTGTAGCTCTCCCCATTGTGTCTTTTCCCCTATGCTAGCATTGTGTCCACAGTAGCACTTGTATGTAGGCAAGGGCAGAGTAGGACTGGCATAAGGGATTAAGGACGCAGTTGGCCAGCTTAAACATGTATTGCAATATGTGTGAACCACTATCCCTATTTGTTGCATAGTTTGCTTGAAAGGGTATATACCAGTGTGATCAGGGACTACTTCAGAATTTTGTGGTATAGATAAAATTGAGTCACACATTGGAGAGGTGGCAATAAAATTCAAGTTATTTTAAAAAATGAAACCTTTTGGATTTTCCAATTAGAGACACTCAGACCAAAAGGTTTACATGTAGATATGGATTTAAATTGTTTAATTTCTAATATATAATCATAGTAGCATTGGTTTTAGGGTTAATAAAGAGATAGGAATGGCCGTTATTGGTTTTAGTAGTTTTTCAATAAAAATTATAAAATAAATAAAGAAATAGAAAATTAGAGCTAATAAAGATGTAGATTGTATCAGGATATATTTAATTTTATATTAATATTTAAATTTTTTTTTAATATATATTATATGTGATTATATTGGGACATAAATAATGTCCCATTTTATTAGTTTTATTTGTAATTATTGTAATATTTTAATATTGGTAATCATTTGGTAGTTTATATATTTTGCCCTGGTAGTTTTAAGGACATTTGGGCTTATGGAAGTGGGATAATAATACACGTAAAAGATTGTAATCACCACGAGATGGCGGTATATAATTCTACGACTTATTTTTAGTAATTCATTTTTAATAATATCAATTTTAGTATTATATAGGTTAGAGATGTTAATATTATGAAGAAGTTGTTGGTTATACTTGTTCCCTCTGTTATACCATTCATTAGAGCAGTACTTACCTAATATAGTACATCGTATATTGCTCTGTGTGTATGTTAGTAAAGGTACACATAGTGAATATATATAGTATTGTGCACATACGGTCTAGCGATAGTATGAGCAGTGGTGTATTTAGGTTTTTTGTGCTGCCCTAGGCAACACAAAAATTGGACGCCTCCCCCCCACAGAAAGAGCCTGACACCAACCAACACCCCCCCCCCCCCCCACACACACACCCAAGAGAGTCTTTCACTACCATCAGCCCACGCACCCTCCAATGAGAGAGAGAAAGACACTCACCTTCACAGCTCCAGACATCCCCTGGAATGAGAGTCAGGCTCTGCATACTCCATCAAGGAGCCCTCAGCCTCTCTTGGATCCCACCCGGTTCCCATGCCGCGTGTGTTCCTTTTTCTGTCTCCTCTTCCAAGGGGCAGTGCTGCCCCCTAAAAAAATGCCGCCCTAGGCAAATGCCTTGTTTGCCTTTGGTAAATACACCCGTGAGTATGAGGCATTAGGTATGAATATTGGAATATTTGGAATTGATATAACATCGTGGCATATGTGGGATGGTCATTCTCCTTTAACTATAATGGTGTAGAAGGACTCATTGACAATTAGGCAGACGGAGATAAAATGCGTCCGCTGTTCCAACGGACACACCCCTTATGAGGAAGTCAGGAAATGACAAAACGTGTCAAGGGAGCGCTGGATGGAGCATTAAGCAAATGGCAACATTTCAGTTTTCAGATGACAATGTATCTCATGTGTCCCACACTCTGTATAGGAAGTATGGGTAGGAAAACGTACCCGTGTTGGCAACTGTCAGCATTGCACTTCACTAAAACATCAGAATGCATTGATGAAGACATGATGGTCAATCAGATGTAAAGATTATTCTCCTGAAATTGCCATCAGATAAAAAGGTAAATCTGCATGTTGGATATTTTCCAACAGATCTCCCTAATCAGCCACAGAATGATCCACAACATCAAATAATTCCTCCTATGGGTTGGGAATGTACATGTGTACCTGTCAGCCTCTTGGCTGTGTCCAGTAATTGCTTTAAATCTTCATAATCCTCTTCGTGGATCCCTCTCTTTATGCTGAGTACAAAGAAAGACAACAATTTACAGAAGAAATATTTAAAGTGTTACTAAACCCACATCAGTACAATCAGTCTGTAGATGCAGTAAAGCATGCTTGTTATACTCACTGTGGAACCTAAGGGGTTAATTCTGTGCATTGTGTAAAAAGTCTGTTTGATCCTGTCTTCTCTGCCCCTCCTCTTGTTCAAATGTCCACATCTATCTCCTGATAAGACAGACTGAACCCGTAGCCACATGCACATGCTCAGTATGGTGTGTATTGCTAGAGAGTTTTTTTTTTCTTGCATGTGATCAGCACAGAGCCAATCAGCACTTTCCAGACAGAGGATCAGAGGTTTTGCATCCTCCTACAGCAGAAAGAAAACTCCTACAAGCTTTAACCAGTGCTCTGCTAAAGTCACAAGACTGCTATATACTGCTGATGAGAAAAGGTATTTAGCAGTTTATGTTTACTAAAATAATTGCACTTCCATGTTCTGTGTACTGTGGTAGAGCAGATATAGTGAATGCAGGGTCCTGGGAGAGAAGATATAGTGAATGCAGGGTCCTGGGAGAGTGGATATAGTGAATGCGGGGTCCGGGAGAGCGGATATAGTGAATGCGGGGTCCGGGGAGAGAGGATATAGTGAATGCGGGGTCCGGGGAGAGAGGATATAGTGAATGCAGGGTCCGGGGAGAGTGGATATAGTGAATGCGGGGTCCGGGGAGAGAGGGATATAGTGAATGCGGGGTCCGGGGAGAGCGGATATAGTGAATGCGGGGTCCGGGCAGAGTGGATATAGTGAATGCGGGGTCCGGGGAGAGCGGATATAGTGAATGCGGGGTCCGGGGAGAGCGGATATAGTGAATGCGGGGTCCGGGAAGAGAAGATATAGTGAATGCGGGGTCCGGGGAGAGCGTATATAGTGAATGCGGGGTCCGGGGAAGCGGATATAGTGAATGCAGGGTCCGGGGAGAGCGGATATAGTGAGTGCAAGGTCCGGGGAAAGCGGATATAGTGAATGCAGGGTCCGGGGAGAGCTGATATAGTGAGTGCGGGGTCCGGGGAGAGCGGATATAGTGAATGCGGGGTCCGGGGAGAGCGGATATAGTGAATGCGGGGTCCGGGGAGAGCGGATATAGTGAATGCGGGGTCCGGGGAGAGCGGATATAGTGAATGCGGGGTCTGGGGAGAGCAGATATAGTGAATGCGGGGTCCAGGGAGGGCGGATATAGTGAATGCAGGGTCCGGGGAGAGCGATTATAGTGAATGCAGGTCCGGGGAGAGCGGATGTAGTGAATGTGGGGTCCGGGGAGAGTGGATATAGCGAATGCGGGGTCCGGGGAGAGTGGATATAGTGAATGCGGGGTCCGGGGAGAGCGGATATAGTGAATGCAGGGTCCGGGGAGAGAGGATATAGTGAATTCGGGGTCTGGGGAGAGCGGATATATTGAATGCGGGGTCTGGGGAGAGAGGATATAGTGAATGCGGGGTCCGGGGAGAGCGGATATAGTGAATGCAGGGTCCGGGGAGAGTGGATCTAGTGAATGCAGGGTCCGAGGAGAGCGGATATAGTGAATGCGGGGTCCGGGGAGAGCGGATATAGTGAATGCAGGATCCAGGGAGAGCGGATATAGTGAATGCGGGGTCCGGAGAGAGCGGATATAGTGAATGAGGGGGTCCGGGGAGTGCAGATATAGTGAATGCGGGGTCCGGGGAGAGGAGATATAGTGAATGCGGGGTCCGGAGAGAGCGGATATAGTGAATGCGGGGTCCGGGGAGAGCGGATATAGTGAATGCGGGGTTTGGAGAGAGCGGATATAGTGAATGCGGGGTCCAGGGAGACCAGATATAGTGAATGCGGGGTCCGGGGAGAGCGGGATATAGTGAATGCGGGGTCCGTGGAGAGCGGATATAGTTAATGCGGGGTCCGGGGAGAGTGGATATAGTGAATGCGGGGTCCGTGGAGAGCGGATATAGTTAATGCGGGGTCCGGGGAGAGTGGATATAGTGAATGCGGGGTCCGGGGAGAGTGGATATAGTGAATGCGGGGTCCGTGGAGAGCGGATATAGTTAATGCGGGGTCCGGGGAGAGTGGATATAGTGAATGCGGGGTCCGGGGAGAGTGGATATAGTGAATGCGGGGTCCGGGGAGAGTGGATATAGTGAATGCAGGGTGAAGGGAAGGATTAGACCTTCTGTAATTTCTGTATTGTTGTTTGTGTGCTCATTGGGAAGATTCATCTCATTATTTGTACTGGTTACCAGAGTCACTGAGATGGAAAGTGGGGGAAATTCCAGAGTTATCTTCAGAACAAGAGGTGAGGGGAATTCTAGAGTTGTCCGCAGAGTGAGGGAAATTCTTCTAATAGGTCCACCTGTTCGGGAGACACTTATCTAAGAAGGGAGTTTCCCTCACTTTCCTGGGTCAAGAAGTGAAGGGGAATTCCCCCAATCATATGAACTGGCAGGCCAAATAATTTATCAAGATGGATTTTAAAAAGGCAAAATCTAGAGAGCCAACCTAAGAAGAACAGCTATTCAGGTAACCCCTGATGAATATTGGTGGGAAGTTTCGGATTGGTTTGGTACATTAGATCCCCAGTACGGCATTACAGTTTTGGGACGCATTGAACAATATCAGAACAGATGATGATCACTCCACGTTGTACGAGGTGTCATGCCAGATGTCCACACTGGACAACTCTCCTATCCTTGAAAAAATTGCTGAAAGTGTTTGTAATTGTCAAAGAAATCTCATCACTGGATTATCAAGGACCAGGCAATGTCATCGTATAAATCCCATTGGTTGTGCACAATGGTAGGCCCTTACATACTTGCCAATGTTATGGTCCCAACTAACAATCCCGTTTTGTGCACTCATTTTCCCAATGGCCACACCCACATCATGCCCACTTTATGGGTTGGTCCCACCCAGACTCTGCCTTTAAATATGCAGGGATGGAGCATTCATCACACTCACTTAACTGACTGGTCTTTCCCAGAAACCCACCTCCAAATATACAGAGACCACCCACTTGTGGCCTTGATCCCCATAATTAATGCCTTTTGTAATTACCATGCAAGTACGATAACCCAAATAATTCTGATGTTGTTACATGATCTGGGACGCAGCATAATTGGGACAGGGGACCAAGATGTGGTCCTGTCCCAGCAAATCCAGAACGGTGGGATCTATGTAAAAGTGATTAAAAAGTGATAAACAGGATTTTCTTAAATAAAAAATGTTTATGGTGCACAGAGCAAGTTAAATGTCATTAAGTTAGGGGTTACGCCTTCTCTAATGCACAGAGGGATTGAAATGAAACATTGTACAAAGATTCCCACATGGAAGAAAAATATATTTGAAATATATTTAAAAAAATATGCTTCCCAAATATATTGACAAATATTTGAAATACTACAATTTTGGCCGTATTCAATATATTTCAAAATACATTTCAATATATATATACAGTATATACTGCGTGTTAAAATGCGTTTTTATATATTACAAAATACATGAAAAATATTTTTTAAAATATATATTTTTAAATGTATTCTTTAGATTTTTTTTTTTACAAATAAAAAAGTCATTTTAACATATATTATTCCATATATTTTTAAAAGCATTCCAAAAATGTAGATTACATTTGTTTTTAAAGACGTCCAGTATATTTGAAAATGTATTTTTAAAAATACTTTTCATATATTTTGGAATAAAAACGTATTTCAACATACTGTATATTATATATATATATATATATATATATATATATATATATATTTATTGACATATATTTGAAATGCCACAATTTTACCCATATTCAATATATTTCAAAATATATTTATATATATATAAATATATATATATATATATATATATACAGTATGTTGAAATACGTTTTTATTCCAAAATATATGAAAAATATTTTTAAAAATACATTTTCAAATATACTGGACGTCTTTAAAAACAAATGTAATCTACATTTTTGGAATGCTTTTAAAAATATATGGAATAATATATGTTAAAATGACTTTTTTATTTGTAAAAAAAAAAAAAATCTAAAGAATACATTTAAAAATATATATTTTAAAAAATATTTTTCATGTATTTTGTAATATATAAAAACGCATTTTAACACGCAGTATATACTGTATATATATATATATTGAAATGTATTTTGAAATATATTGAATACGGCCAAAATTGTAGTATTTCAAATATTTGTCAATATATTTGGGAAGCATATTTTTTAAAATATATTTCAAATATATTTTACTTCCACGTGGGTTGTATCTTTACCTGTAGAGGAACATGGGAAAGATGAAGTCAGATTTCTGGATTTCTGTTTCTGCATCCACAATTCTATCTATAAGCCGGAAACCTCTGCTCCATTCTACTTCCCGATTCAAGGGCAGCAAATTGGCTAGAAAACAGAAAGAGATTGTGAGATTGAAAACAGAAAATGGCGAGATTTCTCTGAAATAAATTCATAAAGAGTTCAGAAATCATAGTATTATCAAATTAGAGTCCAGTAAAAAAATCCAGACTCACACTCAGATAGTTCACCGTGAAAACAATCTCTTCACGCCAAATTTGCACCAGCCACCTTAAATAAAGCAACTTACCAAACATGTAGACTCCACATCTCAAGAGGTCTAACAGAGCTTTAGAATGATGGTGCCTGCCTTGATGGATGAATGGATGGATGGATGGATGAATGGATGGATGGCTCCAGCTCCCTCTCGCACAGTTGGATGTGCCTCAAGCCTGTCACACTTCAGAACGGCATACCCCACACAGCCACTGGATCACCTCACATAAACTTGCCTCAGCAAAATGAACACATAGTCAGATAGAAGCAAGGAGATCCCATAATGAAGGACAGTTAAAGACTCTGTTGGCCCTGGAAGGTGTCCTGTTGGACAAAACGTACGTAGGGCAGAGCCCAGCGGTCATGTCAGCAAATCCTTCCGAGAACTGGTATTGATATTGTTTTGCTTGTGAATACCTATCAATTTTATTAATAAATTGGCTTTAAACTTACATTCATACATTTTTAAATATTTATTCTTGCACTTACACTCCCCGGCCACTTTATTAGGTCCACCTGTTCAATTGCTTGGTAACACAAATTGCTAATCAGCCAATCACATGGCAGCAACTCAATGCGTTTAGGCATCTAGACGTGGTGAAGACGACTTGCTGAAGTTAAAACCGAGCATCATAATGGGGAAGAAAGGGGATTTAAATGACCATGTGGCATGGTTGTTGGTGCCAGATGGGCTGGTCTGAATGTACTGCTGATTTACTGGGATTTTCATGCACAACCATCTCTAGGGTTTACAGAGAATGGTCTGAAAAAGATAAAATATCCAGTGAATGGCAGTTGTGTGGAGGAAAATGCCTTATTGGTATCAGAGGAGAACTGCCAGACTGGTTGCTACAACATTCAGATGGTAGGGTCAGAATTTGGTGTAAACAACATGAAAGCATGGATCCATTATGCCTTTTATCAATGGTTCAGGCTGGTGGTGGTGGTGTCATGGTGTGAGGGATCCATCCTGCCTTATATCAATGGTTCAGGTGGTGGTGGTGTCATGGTGGGGGGTGGTGTCATGGTGTGATCCATCCTACCTTGTATCAATGGTTCAGGCTGGTGGTGGTGGTGTCATGGTGTGGGGGATCCATCCTGCCTTGTATCAATGGTTCAGGCTGGTGGTGGTGGTGTCATGGTGGGGGGATCCATCCTACCTTGTATCAGTGGTTCAGGCTGGTGGTGGTGGTGGGATCATGGTGTGGGGTATCCATTCTGCCTTGTATCAATGGTTCAGGCTAGTAGTGGTGGTGTAATGGTGGGGGGATCCATCCTGCCTTGTATTAGTGGTCCAGGCTGGTGGTGGTGGTGACATGGTGTGGTGGATCCATCATGCCTTGTATCAATGGTTCTGGCTAGTGGTGTTGTGTGTCATGGTGTGGGGGATCCATCCTACCTTGTATCAATGGTTCTGGCTGGTGGTGGTGGTATCATGGTGTGGGGTGGGGATCCATCATGCCTTGTATCAATGGTTCTGGCTGGTGGTGGTGGTGTCATGGTGTGGGGTATCCATCCTGCCTTGTATCAATGGTTCAGGCTGGTGGTGGTGGTGGTGTCATGGTGTGGGGGATCCATCCTGCCTTGTATCAATGGTTCAGGCTGGTGGTGGTGGTGTCATGGTGTGGGGGATCCATCCTGCCTTGTATCAATGGTTCAGGCTGGTGGTGGTGGTGTCATGGTGTGGGGATCCATCCTGCCTTGTATCAATGGTTCAGGCTGGTGGTGGTGGTGTCATGGTGTGAGGGATCCATCCTGCCTTGTATCAGTGGTTCAGGCTGGTGGTGGTGGTGTCATGGTGTGAGGGATCCATCCTGCCTTGTATCAGTGGTTCAGGCTGGTGGTGTGTCATGGTGTGGGGATCCATCCTGCCTTGTATCAACGGGTTCAGGCTGGTGGTAGTGTCATGGTGTGGGGGGATCCATCCTGCCTTGTATCAGTGATTCATGCTGGTGGTGGTGGTGTCATGGTGGGGAGGGGGGGGGATTTTCATGGCACTAGCAAGGAGGACCTAATAAAGTGGCCAGTGAATATATATATGCACAGATCTGTTTCTCTCTAGAGCAGGTTACCTTTATATTTTAGATTTCTCTTACATTGTTTGTGTCTCCACAACTCTCACAATA